AATTCATTTTTTTGGTAACACAGACCACAATTTGTTGTTTTAATTAATTTTTATTTAAAATGACAACATTTTTTGGGTGCCCAATCACACCCTAATCAAAGATTGGTGGCGACTCTTCGAACTATATTTTTCGATCGTAAAGGAAATCCAAAATTTTTCGAAACGAGAGGTCTTGTAATCACATTTTGTTTTTAAATTAAAAAGAGATAATTAAGAATTAATGTGGTTTTCAAAATCGCACCCTTTTCTCACCTTTAAGAAAAAAAATCGTTTCGACAGAGGTACATTGTCAAATACCCATGCGTAGAACCCTAAACCACTAATTAGCATCCACAATTCTAAAGATCGACCACCTAACAACTTTCGTTGGCATATTAGCAACTGAATATTTGAGGTATTTCTTGTTAGTGTAGGGTATGGATTCAGAAATTCTATCTTTGTGCAGTCTTTAAGGGCTGATCCTTTCAGGGTAAGTCTTTTTCCATTCCATTTTTCTGCAGATATGATGGATTGCTTTTGTCAACCATTTCCTCTGCTTTACAAGCCGACTAGTTGCAGTCTTTTAAACATTTTGCTTGAGCCAAATGTCGTACTCTGAAAGTTTGGTACATATGTAATATTATTAAGTCTGAAATACAAAGGGACTGTACTAATGAAGTTGAATTTGTGAGCTGGAACATTTATGTAATTTCGATATGTGTGTATATATATATATGTCACCCATGCATGAAACAGGTCATGAAGGTATAAGGTTAGAAAATGTTATAAAACGTTGAAGCAGTTCATGATGTTATATAAAATGTCTTTGATGAAATCTAACCATTTTTTCTTTTGGAGCAGCCTTTTAAATTCAGTGTCTTGTCGACCTCTATGCGACCCACGTCAAAGCAGGAGATCATCAAGGTATAGGTTTTGCATCACTTTGCTTTTGCAGTAACTGTTGTAAAGTTCATTAGGCCAGGTTTGGCTGATTGTTGTGCCTTATTGTAGGTCAATTTGCTTGCCTCTAGTCACTATGCGGATGAAATCATCTCATGATCAAAGGTATTTATTCTTACAGTGGTCTTGGAATTTAATCTTGGTATCTCCATCAAGATATCGACGTATATAAAAAGAGACTTTTGAGTTGACCGTTTTGTTTTGTCAATATATGATTTACTGCAACTGTATGTATATGTTGAGTTTAAAATAGGTGTAAAAGTAAAAGTTAAAAAAAAGGTAAACTTTGTAGATTTTTTTTTAATCTCTGAAGCATGGTTTTATTGAATGGGATATGTCGAATTTATACACCAAATTGTAACAAAAAAAATTAAAAATGTAGAAAAATTAGCATTTTTTTCAAGAGGATGATTCTTTTGTTTGTTTTGCAATGAGAATAGGCCATTTATTTGATTGTTGGTTTATAACTATTATTTATGTATTTGTTGCTTCTATCTATGCACCAGCTCCAAATGCTAATGGTTTTTTGGCGGTTACAAGTTATTCCAATATAATACTTAAAAAGATGTTTAAATTGTGGGCTTTATTTTTCAGGAATTGTAATCGAAATTTATCGGATAATTATTATGCCTAACATTCTCATTTTGTCTGCAATTATGAGAAACTGTTCAACGTATTCATCCTCTTCATTGCTTTCATGTTCTTATTCTTTAAGATGCTCTTACTTTGTTGTCGTTTCAAAATGCATGATTTTAGTAAGAATTGATGATGAACTGTAAAAAATTAAGAATGTTCTGTGCCTTCTTCCTGTGATTCCTCATTTGTACAACAGGTTGGTAGTGGAGTGATTTCATTATCACTTTTCACTAAGCCCTACACCTCAACAGTTTACAAATGAACCATCTTCCAGACACTCCAAGTTTAACATTTTTTCGCACGACTAATAACATTCTTTTTAATCATTAAAATAAAAAATAAGAGTAAAATAATATTTAAAAAAACATTAAATTTAAATTTAAATAACTTTTACTGCAATTGAATATCTTTGATTTATTCTTGATAGATTTTAAATTTTAACTTTCCACATTACATTTCATTATCACATACTATTATTTAGTTTCAGAGTTTAAGTCCAATGGAGAAATAATAGAAATAATGTGTTTATTCAAAGCACACATTTTTTTATTAATTTACGACGACTACAAATGGTAGCATCTGTTGTAAGACTCACAATCATTTGATAATGAAAGTTCAAATACCCTATAGTCGGTGCTCGAATTCGGGACCTCTAGGTGTAGTAATCATCCATAGAGATGGAACTAGGCGGGGTGGGTGGGATCGGTCGGCCCCCTTGAAATTTTAAAACTATCATATTTTAAATTTTTCTATGTATTTCTATTGAAAATATGTTTTCGCCTCCCTATAATTTTATAAGTTCAAGTTCGCCCCTGAAATTTTATAAGTTCATGTTCGCTCCCGTTAATATAATATCTTGTGTCCGTCCCTAATCATCTATTTAACCATTGAAGTTACTTGATTCGTTTGTTAAAAACATACATTTTGATTTGTCACATGAAGGGGATAACGTCGATATTATTTAAAAAAAATTAATTTTATTGAATATACGTATAAAATACAAGAGATATCGTACGCATGGGAGTGGCTGGAATTGGACACTAAAAAGAATGATAATAGTGTGAAGGGATCTGCCAATAACCTAACAAAGATATATGATTGAGGATACACATATATAAAGGTGCTTTCCATGGCTTAAAAATAGATTTCTTAATAGTAATAATAAAATGACCGAACCAGCTGGTTCGATGGTTCAGCTACTCAGTCTACAGATGCTTGCATAATTTATTATTGTATTTCTTCACCCCAAGCAGGAGACATTTGCTTCAGCAGGCCTCTTTGGTTGACTTAAGGAAGCTTCTGGATTTATTAAGTCGAGCTAGGTGAAGCTGAACATGTCTTTTTTCTTCTTTTTTTCCTAATGGAATCTTTCTAGATATCTCATCCCGGGACCCCAACTTGTAAACAAGACAAGTTGAAAGAAAAAAATAGTAATTTACATGATAGGTCACTGTATTATGAGTATATTTATAATTGGATCATTGTATTTCAAAGAGTCACAAAGGATTAATTTCGTTTAGGAAAGACCTAAATTTATGCTTTTAATTTAGGTGTATCACGTCATCAAAAAATAATAATTAATGACTCAATGATTAAATTGATAACTCTAAAATCACAATGATGACAATTGAACAAAATTGAAAACAATAGTGACTCCTACGATAATTTAGTTTTAAATTTATTATTAATAAAAATTAAATATTTATGTTCTATATAAAAGTAGAAATCACTTCAATGATGTAAAATTGTATATTATCCTAAATGATGTGAAATCTATGGGGTTTTATTTTATTTTATTGGTTTTTTAAGGGGGGAAGTCTCACGTACAATAATTTTAATATACGATTAAAGAAATGCATTATCGGTTTTATTATTATTTTTTTAATATTTATGGTAAAAATTACATAAAACATTATTATTTCTACCGGTTTTGTTATTATTGGGTTCTTTACCAGTTTTGTTAACATATCCGGTAAAACGCTACCTAAAATATTATTTTTTTCTATCGATTTTATTATTACTGGGAACTTTACCGAAAATGTTAAAAAACATTAATATTTTAGGTAGAAATAATAATGTTTTAGGTAATTTTTTACTGAAAATATAAAAAATAATAATAAAATCGATAACACCTTTCTTTAATCGTATATTAAGACTGTTACACGTAAAACTTCCCCTTTTTAAGTCATTCACCAATACTCTATAAGACACGTTGCTTGCAAGCCGGCTTAGTATTCAATTAACCTAGATTTTCGGGTTCAACAACTTTCTAAAAATTCTAAGAAGGATGAGCCCATCCTAGATTAACCCAGTTTTGAATATTCTTATTTGGAGAGATCCAAGAATAAAGCTATACGAGGTTGGTTCATGGATATTTTCCGTCAACCAAGTTTAATTACTCTTAAAACACGCATTAATATAATTTACAGTGTTAATTTTATCATTTTTAAATAAAAAAAAGTATTTCTAGATACATATTCTTTATATTCTCAACTTGGTTTTTTCCACATGAATCACAACTATAAATACCTCTGCAAAACCTCAGAGTCCATCAGCAACCGGTCCTACCACAGGCCAACTGTTCTTGTCATCATCATTTGTCCAACTCTCATTTGCCAAACCCGGACCACCTGCCCCTCCGCCATCTCGTTCTCCACCTCCTCTTAGTAGTTTTGTTTTCCTATCATTAGCGCATTTGATATTAACATTGTCATCTTTTATGAGTGTTAAATATAAGTATATGTTTAACATAGGGAATCCTTGATTTGTTTTCACGAGACTAACGGGATTTTTATTTTTTCTTGGTAATAGGTTTCTGTGATAGAAAGTGTGGGGAGAGATGCGCGAAGGCAGGAGTGAAAGATCGGTGCTTGAAGTATTGTGGGATATGCAGCCACGACTGTAAGTGTGTTCCTTCAGGTACCTTCGGGAACAAGTCCGAATGCCCTTGCTATCGAGACAAGTTGAACTCTATGGGCCATCCCAAGTGCCCGTTTTTTCCCACTTTCTGTGTTCTGTCCTCTCAGATCCACCCACCATTTATATGTAAAACAACAATAATATGCATGCGTGAAAAAGTGTACTGTAAAACAAATTGCATTGCATCTTATTTCCCAACTACAACTATAAAAAATTCTCCCCTTTCTTGTGAAAGATTTCATTGGTAGATTACTAGATTGTACAGTTATATAATGATCTTCACTCTTCAAATCTAAATGTGAAAAATTCCAAATCATAAGCCATAACAACAAATTGATCGAGACTCGGGATGAGTAGATCACCCATAAAGAAAGTGATATCCACCATACAGAAATGTCAAACTTTGAATCCGATCAGGATGGAAAGGCCATGTATGGACTGCCCTTGAAATATGAAAGAAGATAGGAGAATGGACAATTAGCATGTACATTGAGATGAACTAGTGCTGGAAAAGTCTAGCAATGATCTTCCAGTAGTTTTCTTGAACATTACGGATACAATATTCCAACTTACAAGATTTAGTTATCCTGAGGATTTCCGGCTCCACCAGCCAGTGCCTGATTTTCGTTTCCCCCTCTTCCTTTTGTAATTAGGACCTTGGACTTGGCTGAGGAAGATACATCTGCGTCTGCTTGAGCAAAAGGGTTTGCAGGGAGGTCATCTCCAGGAGCAAGAACAGTAGGCTTTTTGGTAGGCATTGGCGGCTCTTTGGTGCCCGACTTTTGTTCCCCCGCTTCCTTTTGTTATTAGGGACCTTGGATTTCGACAGAGAAGATAGCTTCGCATCTGGTTGAACAGAAGGGTTTGCTGGGAGGTCATCTCCTGGAGCAACAGTAGGCTTTTTAGTTGGCAACAGTGGCTCCTCAGTGCCTGATTTTCGTCTCCCCATCTCTTCCTTTTATTTTTAGGGATCTTGGACTTGGACATTGAAGGTACCTTCACATCCGGTTGAACAGAAGGGTTTGCAGGGAGGTCATCTCCTGGAGAAATAACAGTAGGTTTTTCAGTCTGCATCAATGGCTCATTTGTGCCTGATTTTTGTTTCCCCAATTTACTTTTGTTATTAGGGATCTTGGACTCTGATGTCAAAGATAGCTTCACATCTGGCTGAACAGAAGGGTTGGCAAGGAGGTCATCTCCAGGAGCAAGAACCGTAGGCTTTTCGGTTGGCATCGGCGGATCCTCAGTGACTGATTCTCGTTTCTCCATAATCCTTCTGTTATTACTGATCTCGGACTCGGACGTCAAAGATGGCTTCACATCTGGTTGAACAGAATGGTTGGCAAGGAGGTCATCTCCAGCAAGAACAGTAGGCTTTTCAGTTGGCATCGGCGGATCCTCAGCCTGATTCTCGTTTCTCCATATTCCTTCTGTTATTACTGATCTCTGACTCAGAAGTCAAAGATAGCTTCACATCTGCTTGAACAGAAGGGTTGGCAAGCAGGTCATCTCCAGGAGCAAGGCCAGTAGGCTCCTCTGCCGGTTGAGTTAAACCACTTTGAAATTATACAATTCTTCCTTGGCAGCCTGGTTATGTATCAAAATTTCATCCTCAGTCAAATATTAATGAAGAATAGTTGCAGTACAAAAGAAAACAAGATGATTGAATACGCATATCTGGAAACTAATACTAGTTAATATTCACAACATTAATAAAACAATCAAAATCAAATCCTTATAACAAAAACTGAGGTTAATAAAATACTGTGGATGTTAACTGAACAAATTAAGTAGGAATTACAAGAGGCAGGGAAAAGCAAGTAAGATTTTTTTTCTAGTTTGTATTTTATGTGCAACTGAAAACCTTTTTTTCCTAGCCAACAGTATTAGCAGAAGCAAAGAATGAAACCTAAAATCAAATTACAAGTACAATCCTGTGTTACAGAAAATGATAAAAATGTAAAAATTAAAGATGACAATAAATGTTAGAAAAGATGGAAGAGAAAAACTTCAATGATCAAGAAGAATATATAAAAGTGAGTTCACATTGTCATAAGAACTGCAGCAAGATTCTGAGCAGTTCCCTCAATCACATCAGGAAAGGTGCAACCTCTCCATGACTTGAAACTGCACTTTCCAGGCATAAATAGATCTCCCATGTTACCCCCCTGAGATGTAACTGGGATTCGCTCTCCACTCCCAGCTGGAGAAGAGCATCTAGAACCAGATAAGTGTTGCATGGCATAACTGAACTCAATACATTAATGGAAGAGAACTTTTGAGGACTTCCATTAACCACACTGTCAACTCGTGTCTTTAACGTGTGAACTTGTGATTGAATCAGATCAATCTTTCCAAGGATATTTTCTAACCAAATATCACTGTCTCTGAATTCAAGACCTGACAATCCATCACTAATTACAATGTCTTCATTGCTATTGGCCGTTTTGTTTCCTAAAATAATCAAGAAAATGGACCAAAATACCCATTAGAGAGTCAATTTTTGGAAACACAGTCACAACAGCTATTTGTGAACCTTGTTCTATAACACCTATGAGCTACACAGTTGCCAAAACCGAGTCAAATGTAATACTTACCTAACTTACCATTATCACCCATCATGAGCAGAAGTAGCAACAATAAATTTCTTACTGTCTGGGAGCAAAGAGATTATACTTATCAGATTCGAACCTGTAAAATGCTTACCCCATAAAGAATGATGATGAAATTTATAGTTTCTTACCATAATATGAGAAAAGGTTATGATTTTTTTTTTTTGATAGAATAAGGCCTCATTAAAACCCCTATTCTTATCCTCCATGTTACAAGCATAACATGAAGGACATTGGAATGAGGGAAAGAGTGCCTCTAACTTTTATTAATAGGAACAATAATACACTTCCACATCTCAACAACTTCTTACACAACAAAACAACCATAATTCTGAAAGCATAAAACACCCTAATACACTTTTAATAGTAACAACCAAGACAACACCTTAACAGTTACACAACTAAAATCAGCCTATGCCAGCTTTAGCTAATTCATCAGCTTCCCAATTAGCTGCTCTCGAGATGTGCCTTGTGATAATACCCTTCCTCTCCACAGCAGAAGCTATATCCGTTACCAAGGATTGGAACAAAGTAGAACTAAGGATCGGATTATTAATCCACTTCAGAGCATTAGAAGAGTCTGATTCCAAAATAATCCTCAGTTTTGAAAAGAAATCAGTTTCAACTTCCTCAATAAGAATCAACCCTCTATTAATAGCCAAAAGCTCCGCGAGTAAAGGACCTCCCCCAACCTTCTCTGAAAATGACCCAAGCACCAACCCTGCCATCCCTAATCAAGCCACCTATACCACCCTTATCCCAATCTTTAACCATTGCACCATCAACGTTTACTTTTAAAAACCCTTCCGGAGGAGGACTCCACCTGGAAGAAGGAAGATTCTTCTTATGCGAATTGCCAAGTTGATCTGCAAGTTTTAAATCACCCATCAAAGAATCAAAATGAAAGTGAACATCCTTAACTGATGTTTCAAACCAAGAAACAGTTTCTGAAACGTGTAATGAAGAACAACAACACTGGATCAACCTTCCCATTCTGAAAAATCACCTCATTCCTACATTTCCAAACAGACCACAATACTGCTCTTGGAATAAACTTCCATATGTGAGATCGTGGCACTAGATCATCCCAGGCCATAAAGAAATCCATCAACGAACCAGGAACCACAAAGAAAACATTCCATAATTTTAAAAACTTAGCCCACAAGACCCATACCACTTCGCAGTGAAGAAACAAATGAGCGACCGATTCATTATACTTCCTGCACATAGGGCAGACAGAGTCTTCAATCCCAGTTACTCCTCTCTTCAGCAGTTCCTCTTTTACCGCAACTCTATGATGAGCAAGTTGCCAAACGAAAGATTCCACACGTGGTGAGCTACTCCTTTCCAAACATATCTTTCCCAATTGCTTTCTAATTCAACATTACCCTCTCTATCAAAATAAGCATTCACACATGATTTTGCTGTAAAAACCCTCTTCCATTTCCCAACCAAATCCAACAATCTTCCTCAACTAGGGACATAGAAGAGTTGTTCAACAGAGAAATAATTTGCAGCCACTGTTCAACCTCCCAATCTACCAAATTCCTTCTCGTTTGAATATCCCAAACCCAACCCGCATCAAATGCAATCTGAATTCTGCAACCTTACCCTCTTTATTATTCGAGAGAGCAAATAACCTTGGAAACTATCTTTAAGAGGAACCGAACCCAACCAAATATCATGCCAAAACTTAACTGTTTCTCCATTTCCTGCTCTAATACACAAATTTCTCCTAAAACAGTCCCCAAATGCATCACATGAAAAGAAATTCTTCCTCCTCTCCAAATCCAAGAAGTACGAGCTGTCCAAGAATTCCGAATCATCAAAGAATTAGGATCCAAATTGTAGACAGAGCACAAAACATATTTCCACCAAGAGTTTTCTCTGCAGCAATTTCCACACCCATTTCCCCAAAAGAGCCCTGTTTAATAACAACAGATTCGGGATCCCTAAACCCCCCAACTTCTTAGGCTTACACACCAAATCCCACTTAATCCAATGAATGTTCTTTTTCTCTGATGCTCCCCCCCATAAAAACGATGCCATGATAGAGTTTAATTTGTTGAGAACGCTACTAGGGATCCGAAAAATAGAAAGGTAGTATTTGGAAGAGAGCACAACACACGGATTTGACCAAGACAGCCCTTCCAGCCAAAGATAAAGACTTGGCCTTCCAACCAAAACTCTTATAAAATTTTTGAACTACCGGTTCCCACATGGAAAAGGAATTCCTCTTGGCCCCCAATGGAAGACCTAAATACTCCGATGGAAAAACTCCCTTTACACACCCTATTTCCTTTGCCCATGAAACTAACTCCTCCTCTCCCACGTTAATTCCAAAAATTCTACTCTTGGACAAATTCAACTTCAAACCCACCAGCAGTTCATAAATTAGAAGCACCCTCCTAATTCACCAAATCATGACTAGAAGCCTTACTAAAAATTATTAAGTCATCCGCGAATTGCAAATGAGATAACATGAAAGAACGATCATTAGAGCCTAATTCAAAACCCGAGAAAAGCCCCTTGTTCACTGCTTTCACCAGCATTAAATGTAGCAATTCCCCCCAAATTAAACAACAAAGGGGATAACGAGCAGCCCTGCCTTAGACCTCTAGTAATGTTGATTTTCTCCGTAGGAGTGCCATTTACCAAGACTGAAATGGAAGCTGTTGAAACACATTTATACATCCAAGAACTCCATCTAGCTCCAAATCCCATTTACTCATTATTTTCAACAAGATCTTCCAATCAACCGAATCAAAAGCTCTTTTGAAGTCCACCTTAAGACAACTCCCTTCAATCCTTTTTTCCTCCAACAATCGATGCCTTCATTTGCTATAAACGCACAATCTAAAATATGTCTCCCCGGAATAAATGCGAATTGTGATAGACTAATAACATCATTAATACACAAGCTTAACCTTCTAGCTAGAACTTTGAAAGAATTTTGTAGAAACCCCCAACAAGACTAATAGGCCTAAAGTCTTCAAGTCCCTCCGGATTGTCCCTCTTTGGAATAGAGAGAGGAAAGAGTGGTTTGTTTCCATGTCCCATTCCTTACCCTCATAAAATTCCTTAAAAAACAGCAGCAAAACTTCCTTCAGATTTGGCCAAAACTTCTTAAAAAAGCCTAAATTCAGTCCATCAAGACCAGGTGCTTTGTTACTATCCGAATTAGCGATTACATCCCAAATTTCCTCTTCAGAGAAAGGCTTCTCGAGGGCTATACTATGCTGTTCCGAAAGCTTTAAAAAATCCAAGTCCAGTTCTTCAACTTCCAATGTATTGTCCTGGTTTAACAACCCCTTGAAAAATTGCACCACCGAATCTTTAATTAGTTTTGGATCTGAAATGTCTTCATTATCAACTTTGATGGATTTGATGTTATTTCTCCCTCTACCTCTTGCACACTGCTGGAAAAATCTGGTGTTTTATCCCCATTCAAATTCCACTTCAATCTTGACTTTTGAACCAAATCAGTTCATCTTTTTTATACAAGTCCCACAGCTCTTTCTTTGCTACCACTAGGTTCTTCATAGACACCATGGAGACCTTGTTGCAAATTAAGTTCCATCACCTGAATTTCTTTTTCCAGCCTATTTATTTTCCCAGAAATCTCAAGATAGCCCTTCCCACCATTTCTTCACTGCTCCCTGCACTCCTTTTAGTACACTAGAGATTGGTTGCCTATTCTCCACATCACAAAGCTTGACAAGTTCTCCTTCCATCATCTTACAAAACCCATCCTCTTCCAAGACATAATTAAACAATTTGAACGGTTTAGGGCCCCAATTCCAGCCCCTATTTTCCAGCAAGATGTTGTTATGGTCAGAAACAGACCTTTCTAGGAGTCTTGAGAGATCATAGGAAACAAAGATAAAAATCTTTGGTCCACTAGGAATCGATCT